ACAGTGACATGAGCTATGTAGGCGTCCAATTGCAACGTGACTGACTATTTTGTAAAATTGACCATATGTAAGGGATATGCACAGAAACCTCATAAAATGTGTTTCATGTTTGTCTGAGATTATCATCAGGGCCAGTTTGTGCACTATAAAAGAAATGGCTTGTGATTATTAAAACATGTTTTTTTGTTTTACTTGTTTTAACCAAGACAAGGGAAGTATATTCACTGGCAAACACCCCGTTTCCCCCCAAAATTAAATCATGATACAAAATACATTTTAGAAGGCGGCCCAGTGGTCCAGTGGTTAGCGCGTCGACCTCATAGTGCAGAGGTGCAGGGTTCAAATCCGGGTCCGGCCTCTATGTGTGGAGTTTGCATGTTCTCCCCGTGCCTGACTGGGTTTTCTCCAGGTACTAAGGTTTTCTCCCACATTCCAAAAACATGCCAAGCCGGTTAATGGAACACTGTAAATTGTCCTTAGGTGTGAGTGTGAGCGCGAAAGGTTTTTTGTGCCATGAGATTGGTGGTGGGCAAGACCACTGACAATCATTGCTGTATTTGCAAAGTTATGAAGACTATACCGATCACATTTGACTTTAATTTCATCCCAATTGAATTTTAAAGCATGCAGCGGACAAACAGTATGTAGGAATTCACCCAGGGAGACTGTTGAGTTCTTTTGTTGCCCTCTCCAAAAACAATTCCATTCAGGAACGATCATCTCATTTCAACAAACATTTGTCCCTCTTCCCACCCGTCTTTCCTATGTCCATCTCTTCATCTCCTTGATGGGATCTCAATGTAACTGCGTTGGAGTATAGCACTCCATCCTGATGAAATTACTGTAGTTGGAGTAATAGCCATGTTGGAATGGCCCTGCCAGAACTGGCACTGACCGGCCCTGTACATTAATGATGTCATCTGATTAATTTAAATTATTATTTCATATTTACCTAGTGCCAGAAGACAGCTGGGATAGGCTCCAGCACCCCCGCGACCCTTGTGAGGATAAAGCGGTTCATAAACTGGATGGATGGATATCTTTATTATTTGAGTCTTGAAGAAAATATTCTGTGTCATATTAAGTTGACAGAATTCAAATTACTCAATATTAAAAACGAAAGAACATGTTGCTTATTACTTTTACATTTATTTAGGAACTTTACACTGTCTCATTCGGTGCGTCAATGAACTTCGGCTGCACCAGCACAGTCACATTGTGGTCCCTAGGCCACCGCGCAAATGTTGTTTTGACAGAACTTTAACAACTACATCTATTCCCAAAAGTTACTCAAGTAAATGTAACAGAACAAATACTGCAGATTACTACACGCCTCTAATTACCACAAACAATATTTTGCACTATTGCAGGGCGAGACTTCTGATCAAGGAATGTTGTTGGTTCATTTTGTGAATTATAATAGCAGCCTGCTAGACCAGGCGTAAATGTCACTTGGGAGTTGATTGCATACTTTGAAGTCACATTAGTATCTGACCACAATAGAAACCAAGTTAGAATTACAGTACAGATATTTGCAACTCATATCCAGCCGAGCCTAGCAGTTAAATATAAAGAGATCTCACCAGATATTAATGCTGCACATGAATATATGTAAGAGTAACAGTAAGAGTTTTCAACTGGAACAAATTATACGACCTCATACTGGTCTAATGACACTGTTATTGTACACTGACTAGGATAATTATGACAATCCCTTTTAACATCTAACGGCTAGACTGGTTTTGTACAATAATTAGAGTGCTTTAATTCACTTCTGCCAAGTCAAAAAGAACATTTCAGACATGCGTAACTACATTCTTCCTTCACACATTTCAGATATCGGCAATGTCATTTGGGGGCAAAGCACATCACTTTTTGTATTGGGTTTGTCAATGCACAAATCCACAATGTCAAATTGCGGATGTCTGGGTCAAAATCTTAACTAAAAATTAAACTGGAGCTATAGATAAATGCAACTATGTCAGAAAGATCTTTAATTTATTTGCTTTCGATGAGTCAAGGTGATCAACTGCATATGTCGCTTTTTGAATATTTTGAGTCAAGTTTTAACGAGGCGAAATCTGAATTCAACTGAGTCTAGTTGCCACGCGCCATACAGTTATCGAATGCTACAATTAGAACTAACGAATACAGATTTAGTGGAAAACTTTTGATTTTCATGTACTGTACCTTGCTTTAGATTGACTTTCCTGTACCTTGCTTCCACTTACCTTTTCCCTACGTGTAACGCATAGTAAGCCTGTGACACAGGTGATAAGCAAGTGACTCCCAAGTCAAAGATAGTTGCTGGTACATTCGAAAATATTAGGTCTCCGACTCGGGACCGACTTTTGAAGAAAGTTCAGAAACTCTTGCAGGCCAAATTGCCACGTAAGCCGACGGGGCTACACGTTATTGCTCCCTCTGGTACGCACACGAACCAAGTGTCAAAAAGGAAACAAAAATTCCGTAACATGACAGATGCAAGTCATAGTACTCGCGATGCTTCATGCAGGTGGAGAGTTTTGGCGACAACATGAATGAGACAGGACGAATATCAGATGTAAAAGTCCAAAACTTACCGAGCCCCTGTATTTTTCAAGTGACACTAATTTCCCTCGACTGTTCACAACTTTGAAAGCATAAAAGTCTTTGTGTTTGCCCGCTGCCAGGCTGAATAATGTTAGCAGCATGGTGAGAGTCGCAGAAAGCATCTTTCTTCTAGTTTGGGACCAGTGCCAACGACTGTGTCTGGGTCGAGGGTTGTTGCTCCGCAGCCTCCCAGACTGGATCATGGAGGCCACACCTTCGGGGAGCCATAGACAAAATACTGTACATGTATAGACCTCACCTTGAGCGAGTCGGCCTGTTGCTGAGATCCGTACGTACGTCCGCCATATTGAATGTGTCACATCTGCCTTGTAAACTAATGAATAAATACAAGTCAACTGAACCGAAAAAAAAAAAATCCTTCCTAGCCAATACAAAAACGTCAGGCCTCTCGTTTACTCCTGGCGTATCTCATCCACCCCAACTCCCTCGGGGCTTTGCCACCGAAGAGCTTTTGAACGACGCCGGTGACTTCAACCCCAAAGATAGGAGAGCCCACCATTTTACAGAAACTGCCCTTGCGAAAGTGACCACTGATCTTCCCCTACCTATGAACTCCAACATCTCATCCATATTATTATTACTCTATCTTAGCGCTGCCTTGACAGGTGAATTTGTTGCTTCTTAATCACGATAAAAGCAAGATGTTGATCGTAGGCCGTCTTCAGCATCGGCATCTATTGAAGGACATGACTGTGTCTTGATAAATGTACTCCTACCCAAAGTGATTCAGCAAAAAAATCTCAGTGTTTTGATTCAATGCTCTCTTTTCAAATGCACATTAAGAATATAGTTATATTCCAAACTGCATTTTTTCACCTTCGCAATATTGTTAAAATGCATCCCACTTTATCTCTTGATGACACAGAAATCATAATTCATGCATTTATGATGTCTCACCTCGATTTTTACAACTTTTTTCTCTCGGGTCTTCCCATGTCTACTGTGAAAAATCTGCAGTTACTACAAAATGCTGCAGCTCGACTCCTGACGAGGATGTTTGATCACATTACCCCAATACTAGCCAACTTGCATTGGCCTCTAAAGTGAGAATTCTGACTTTAATCTTGTTGCAACGACTTTAAAGTCAGAATTCTGACTTTGTGACGTTCGTGGAGCTATGAATTGTGGGGGGACCGTCAGCGTGTGGCGTGGCTTGGAAGAAAGGACATCATGTCGTCACCCAGCGACTTTTTGCGTGGCCGAGGAGTGTTGGAGGACATCCTTTCACTTTTGGAGGAGCAGAGGGTGAGTAAACAGTGTGTCGTGTTTGTTTCATTTGGAGTTAAGGTGCTCCATGGAGCTTGTAGCTCCGTTGCTAGTAGTGATGGGAATCTGAAGCCTCATGAAGCAATGAGGCTTTCCATCCAACTGGGTCGGTCCTGGGCCGATGCATCATGAGGCTCCATTTGTTCTATTGCGCCATCATGTGGAAAATAAATGTCATGACACAGTGATTAAAATACCATGGATTTGATGGAGTCAAAAGGGCAGGAAGTTGTGATGTGAATGAATGTGCGTGTGTTACTTGAAAGAATGATTGCTTTATTTTAGACATTGACATAAACAAGGAACAAGATACACCTTACATTCATTTTTATTGAGGAAAACAAGCATTTCCAAAGTGTTTGGCTTTAAACGGTTTCTTTTCTTCGATAGGATTTCTCCTGCTTTTGAAAATAGTCTTTCACAAGGGACGGATGAGGCTGGGGTAAAGAGAAAGGTTATAGCTAATTTGTCGAGGTTGTACATTCGTTGCAACATGTGGAAGGTGCTGTTCCAGCGTGTCTCCACCTGAAAATAAAAGGTCATTATTGTTTGAAAGGGGAGTGGAAGCAGTTATGGATGTCAACTTACCTCTTGAATGAGCTTCAGCACAGGCGCTGTAGGCATCATTTGCTCCTGCACCTGTGTCAGCCTTGTCTATAAAAATTAAATATGAAACAAAACATTATTCAAGTCATTTTGCATTAATTTGAATACTGCTGTGTAATAAAGGAATTCACCTTTGCAGTGGTACTGCTTTTGAAGTAGCCAACTATCCTCCTACACTGAAGACGGATCTCAGACAGCTCAGTGTTTTCTGCCAGAGCCTTCTTCACGATCAGATATGTGTGGCGCAGATGAAGGTCTCTGGCACATGCAGCCATGTTGGCTGCACCATCTGTCACAAGGCAAGTTACCTTGGTGGAAATGCCCCATTGTGCCATGAGTGCCGATTGAACGGAAGCCATGTTCTCAGCTGTATGGCGGTCAGGGAAATGGAGCACACCTAACACAGCTGAGTGCAGAGAGGTGTGCTCATCAATGAAATGACAGGTGACTGCCAGATATGCATCTGTGTTGATGCTGGTCCACATATCTGCTGTTATGCTCACAGCAGAGGACTTTGCTATGAGGTCTTGGGCCTTCTCTTTTGCCTGCTGCCTGCTGGTACCTCTCCTCCACCATGGCTTTCAAAGTCTAAAGGAAATGAGAAAGAACACTATTGGAAGAGCACTTATGGGGGAATGGGGAAAAAGGATGCATGTGCGCTCACACACCCGCCTGGTGGGGAGAACATATGTAGGGTCGAAAGCTTGGATAAGCTTCCTGAACCCTGTGTCCTCCACAAAACTGAAGGGCTGGCAATCTTCAATCACCATATTGATTAATGCCTCTTCCACTGCATTCTTATTCACTGCAGTTTAAACAGAGACAGAGTTAGTGATAGATGTCATTCATTTCATCTGTCACATTTGAAATACACATGGTAGGCTATGCTGTTCTTTCATTGCATGTTAAAATGCCTTACCTGGGGGTGGTTCTGTTTGAGTTGTCTCCTTATTTAATGCAGGGCCCTATAATGCCTCAACATAGATGACGTGTTCTCTTGGTACCCAAGTTCTGTGGAACAAAGTTTACACTTCACCTTTTGAAATATCAGCAAGTAGAAGAAAGACATTAGAATGAGGGATGCACTGTGCTGTCACAATAATGTACAATATATATTCACACTGGTTATAATTTGTACCTTTTTAGGAGAGATCTGCTCAAAATGATCCCAGACAGGGGACCGTTTTTTTCGTGCCAAAACGCCTTACTATACTATGTCGTTTTTTTCGTGCTAAAAACGTCTTACTATACATGGACGTTTTTTTCGGCTAAAAACGCCTTACTATACTATGTCGTTTTTTTTCGTGCTAAAAACGCCTTACTAAACGATGTCGTTTTTTTTGGCTAAAAACGCCTTACGATACTATGTCGTTTTTTTCGTGCCAAAAACGGTGTGTGTGTGTGTGTGTGTGTGTGTGTGTGTGTGTGTGTGTGTGTGTGTGTGTGTGTGTGTGCTTGCATCTGAGATCAAATTTGCTGCAGTGAAAAACCCCCTGTTGTGAAAAATTTCTTGCTGCAAACATGATTTCGCTGTCGAGGAGTTTCACTGTAGTAAAAAGGAGGTGAACTCACGTGGCGAGTAGAATGGCTTGCAGTTTAAAGACAGCGACTCCAGATCCGGGCTGCAGTGTGCGTCGAGCTTTGTCAGTGCACCATTCTTCGTTGATATAGAAGCAAATCCCACCCACCACCTTTCGATTTCCCTGATAGCTCCGTGTCTCGGTCGGCTCGGAGTAGGCGGAAGCCGGGTAGATGTAGCGCGGAAGCCGGGTGGCGGTCACTGAGCCAGGTTTCATTGAAGCAGAGCGCAGCAGAACGTGCAAAGGTTTTGTTGGTCTTTGTGAGGAGAAGAAGTTCATCCATCTTGTTTCGCAGAGATCGTAGATTAGCAAGATGGATCGATGGGAGAGGGGTTCGAAATCCACGCTGCCGGAGCTTGACTAGCACGCCGGCTCGCTTCCCCCTCCTCCGACGGCGTTTCCATGCTCCGTATAGCGCAGCCACTCCGCTCGCGATTAGCTCCGAAAAACCTTGTGGATTTTTGGGTGCAGGTGAAAAAAGTCCGAGCGTAGACTCCCCAATGCTACGCAACTTTTCCCTCGTGTAAGTAAGCTGCTCAGGGTCGCCCAAAACTAACGAAAATGACAAAAACAGCGATAATACTAGGGATCAAATCACGAAATACCCACTTTAGGCCTAGATCCAAAACTCACCACCAGCCACTGATATTTACCCTTTCACTTGATTTGTCACACAACGTTTTAGATACGGAGGAATGCCGGATAAAAAAAATATTTTTTTTGTTTTGTGTTTTTATTTTTGTTTGTTTGTTTGTTTTTATATTGTGGCATGAAATTTTGTACACACACACACACACACACACACACACACACACACACACACACACACACACACACACACACACACATACAAAAAACGATTACCATAGAGTTACAGGAAAACCCACATTATCGAGGAGCTGAATGCATCATTGTACACGCCCCTCTGAGCGTCACTGCCGCTCCCACAATGCAGCGGTGTAATGTATGAATATAGCGTCAAGTGCTGCTGTTGTGACCAGGCCGTGGGCTCGGCAAAACATGTAGAATAGAAACCATGAAGGCAACAAAAGAATAACCTTAAATCGTTTGAAAGTAAGTTAATCCTTTTGTTCATTTTTCTTACTGAACAGAGCCGATAACTATGCCTTTGAAGGCTTGATGTCTGACAACTGGGTGAGAGTATTATTTCCCGTTAGCTTGTCCAGTGATCCATAGGGTTTTTTTTCGTTTGTTGTTCGCTTTCTCAGACTACAAATTCCACAAAAAGTGAAATCAAACCATCCGTTATAACACAGGACTCACTTTTTGCCATAGAATGCTTGTCTACCCCACCGAAGGTAGTAATTGTGAAGTGTGTTCGCTCGTGTTTACGTTTTGAAAGTTATGCTAATTTAACCGTTCGCATACGTACTTGGTCTTTTCCCAACCATGGTTATCAAATAAATTGTTGCACTGAGGCTTATTAAGACCTAACCGTAGCTTGAGCTAACTTTATCAATCGAAATAATGTATAAGATTTGTGTTTGACAGCATAAAAGTTGTATGTTGTGTTTTTTTGAAACATATTTTTTACTGCTGTATTATTTATTGCTGAGCATCATAGTGTTGTCCAATGTTCCTACTTTAATTCATGGTTCTCTTGGCACCATTGGACCGCTCACAGAAAATATACACAATGCAACAAGTGATTTACATAATTTCTAAGAACAACTAAAGAAGTTGTTCAACACTGCAAAATGCGAGGTGATGCTGTATCAAAATAAAATAATCACAATGTAGTTTAATATCCCAGAGTACTAATTTGTTGCGTGTGCAGAACACAGGTTATGGTTTTTGCTGTTTTACAATATTAATTGAGAGAAAGTTTGATAACAACGTTAATGAGGTGCCCCCCCCCCCCGAATTGGAGGAAATACCCATAATTGTGCTTATTTTAATAAAATGCAGAGTTGTGAGGTTACCATGCATTTTACTTTATGCCCCACTTTCCCACTTTTACCCAGACTTTCGGTGGTCGACCTTCTGGGCTCTCCATGGTGTTAACTAGACCAAAAAGATTAAAAGCATCTCTTAAGGGATGGATGAGTTTCTGTGCACTGTAAAGTCAAACAAGCAGTCTCATCCTAAAGTACCCAAATCCTTGCACAGTTTGGCAAAGGAAGCACAGAGAGAGTGCACTGTCTCTTTAAAGTGCAACAAAGAAAACCCCAGTGCCCCAAAGGATGATCTTAGTCTAAAAGTGGCAGGCAAAGCTTCATTGGATACAGGGAAAAGATGCTCATCAAGGTTATTTTTACTGACTGGAAGAAGAAGTTCTAGGGAAAGAGGGAAATGAATCTTTATTTGCCCAAATCCATAGTAGGGCATTATGTCTTTATTCAAGGGACTGTTTTCTACAGACAGCGGCTCAGTTGCAAATAGAGAGACCAGCTCTCCTGTTGTGCCAATTTTACATGAGAACGTCACCTTAGAACCCAAGAATAGTTTCATTGGAGCTCCTGGAAATGACAAGCGTCATGGTGGGTTTTCACAAATCATTTTCAACATTTACCTCTTTTTCACTAAATGTATCCTGCTAATAAATGTCCTGTTTTTTAGGATTGAAAGCTGCAGCACTGATGCATCACACTGTTGAGGGGTGCACATCAGTGGGGCCAGTTACAATGGAAGGATCGCTGACGGAGCAACAGCTTGGCCTCCGACAGGCAGAGGAACGTCTTTACAGAGATTATATCCACAAGCTTTTAAAAGTATGGGAGTAATCAATCTGTTCATGTTAAGTCATTCACAAGACCAATTTCAATCCTTAAGTGAAATTTGAATACCTATTTTAAAATATGGTTGACTGAAATTGTACACACTTGTTATAAGTGAATATTTGCAGATGGAATATTTTTAAATTTTTGTTTTCACAGCAATCCCCAGAATACCCAAAGTATCAATACATATGCAAGCTGTGTTCGGTTCATATTGAGCACATTCAAGCAGCACACAAACACATAAAGGAGAAGAGACACAAGAAGAACATAATGGTACGTGAATGCAACATTTTGTATTTGACCAAGCACTGAATTTTCAGTTACACTTACACTGAAAATAGTTTTTTAATTTTAGGTTAAATGGGATTAGAGTAAAAATATGTTTTCGTTCTGCCATTTTAGGAAAAACAGGAGGAAAATGAACTGCGTGCCCTGCCACCCCCTAATACTGTACAGCTAAGAGCCATCGACACAGCTGTTCTGGAAGCAGCCAGGCAGAAGGGGATTTCTGAGGAGGACTTTGAGCATCGAAAGGCTGTGGTTATTAGGATGGAGGACATCATAAAGAAACACCTCTCAGGTTGTATGTTAATTAAACAATTAGGCCTTGATTTGCTGTGAATACAATCCCTAGTAAAAAAAAAATGAATCAGATTCATTGGCCATGTATGTAAAACACACAAGGGACTTATTTTCCCAGTTACAACCCACCCAGAGGAACATAAATAAAACAATGACCAACACGGGGAGACAGAACGAGGTGACATTCCACGTCCCTGAGCTAGCTTCTGTAGCCGAGGATCGAACTGCCTTTGGCCGCCGCCGAGCTCATTTTGCACCTGACCCCTTTGGCCCCTCCCTTTGGTAGTGAGCTCATGGGAAGGAGGACCCACAATTCCTCTTCGGGATGAGCCTAGCCCAGCCCCATGGGTGTAGGCCCTGCCACCAGGCGCTCGCCAGCGAGCCCCACCTCGAGGTCTGGCTCCATACGGGGGCCTCGATGACCCGTGTCCGGCAAGGGAAACCAAGGATCATATATTTGACCCATCATAATGGGTCTTTTGACCCATATATATGGCTCTCACAAATGGCTTCAACAAAATGTCAGTATAATAAGCCTTTGAATGTATTCTTTAAAATAATTTTGTGATAATACTCACCATTAATGTGAATGGTTTTCCGTTCCTCACGGTTGCTAAAAATAAAGCAAAACTATCGGAATGAAAGTCATCTTGCCAGGTCCATACGCGAAGTTACTGCTAGCTAGCTTGCACACTGCTCAGTAGCTTGCATGCTTCCTTTCGGCCATCTCTCGCACAGTATTTTGATGCGAACATAGCATGGGGCGTGTCAAAGTGCCGCTCTGCATTCGACCGTTTCATCAATGGTATTTTGTCATTGCAAATCAGACACACCGCAGAACCTGTTCTCTCCACAAAGGCGAATCCTTCGGTCCATTCGTCCCGAAGTCTACCAAACTCGTCATCTTTTTTTTTATTTTCGCCATCTTATTCGCTTAGGATTAGCTTTGAGCTACTGACCGAGCGGGTTGATTCAATAGGGGGCATATACCTGTTTCCACAGCAACGGCAACGTTGGCCAGTATCATCCAATCAAAATGGCTCCTGGAGCCAACTGCCGCCCGAACGAGGAAATGAGCAGTGAAAAATCGATCGATGGATGCATTAATAAACAAGCGAGAATACTTTTTTATCTGCAAGTCAGATGCAATCATCAAAAGAGCCATATATATGGCTCGCAAGCCATAGTTTCCCGACCCCTGATCTACAGGATGTGAAAATGTTCGCAATTCCGGTAAAACTCACTGCAATAAAGAGTCACTTGCATGTCGCTGTTTTGGATCCAATGATAGAAAATAGCGGCATGGACACACTTATTCCGTCGTATCGAGCGGGAGTTACTTGAGTTGGCGCTACTGCGGGCTTCCGTAATGTCTCCCCCTCCCTCCCTGTGCTCTGCAACTTAAAGTAACTGCGCCACCTGGCGTTGAAATGCCTGTCATTACAGGTCCAAATGAAATGAATGCAATCATTTACATCGATCCTTAATTGTGTACCAACCTTTGGTGGGCCGGATTAACAAGACCAACGGGCCTGATCTGGCAACTCTGACCTCGGACCTGTTTGCTGTTGTTTTATTTTTAGTAATAACCTTTACAATACCACACTGCTAGGGGGCAGTGTTGCCTCAACGAGGGGGAATGAGAGCACGAGTCTTGGGGGGTGAGTTCAGTTGTCGTACTGTTGGTCAAGGTGATCGGTTGTGAAATAGAGTTCTTCAATCATCATACAAGTGGAGTGCCATGGGTGACCCTGCCAGGGGCATAAAGCCCTCAACAATTTAGATCCTCGGATTATTGGGACACATAAACCCTTCCACCACAGTAAGGTGACGGCTCACGGAGGAGGGGTTGTTACCAAAAAGTTGTATTTTGGTTTCATCTGTCCATATGACATTCTCCCAATCCTCTTCTGCATCATCCAAATGCTCTCTAGCAAACTTCCGATGGGGCTAGACATGTACTCTCTTAAGAATGGGGACTCCTCTGGCACTGCAAGATTTGAGTCCCTGGTGATGTGGTGTGTTACTGATGGTGGCCTTTGTTATTTTGGTCCCAGCTCTCTACAGATACCCCGTTTGGTTCTGGGATTTTTGCTCACCGTTCTTGTGATTGTTTTGGCCCAACGAGTTGAGATCTTGTGTGGAGCCCCAGATCGAGGGAGATTATCATTTGTCTTGTATGTCTTTAATTTTCTAATAATTGCTCCCAGAGTTAATTTCTTCACACTAAGCTGCTGACCAATTGCAGATTCAGTCTTCTCAGCCTGGTGCAGGTCTATAAATCAGTTTCTGGTGTCCTTTGATAGTTCTATGGTTTTGGCCATCGTAGTGTTTCAAGTGTGACTGTTGAGGTTTATACTTATAAACAAGTTAAAATGTGGCAATAATACAGGTAACCAGTGGAAGACAGAGGAGCTTGACATCATGCTTGTTTGAGGGTGACAAAATACTTATTTTCCACCATAATTTGCAAATAAAAACCAGACAGTCATTTTCTGGATTATTTTTTTTTTTCATTTTATATCTAATAGTTGAGGTACACCTATGAAGAAAATCACATTACCTATGAAGAAAATCACAGACCTCGCTCATCTTTTTGTGCTGGGGCACAGTGATTTTGGTATAAATTACAGTGCATGACTTCTGCAGTATGACTAAGCCAGGTAAATTGATTTAGCCACTACTCATCAAAGCCACTAATTCGTGTGTTTTTGAGAAGATATGGAAAGAGGACTAAACAATTCTTTGAATTATGTACATGTTGGCTTTGTGTTGTTCTGCTCCTAATTCAAACCGAATTTATGTACTCTTGCCTTGCCGACTCGTTTTGTCCTGCCTTCTGACCCTTGCTCTCACCAACCAGCCCCTTGTGAACTACTTTCAGACCTGACACAAATGTCCACAATTTGTTACTCCCTTTAATTATTAAATTTTAACTGCCTCTTATGTTAATTTCTCTGCTCTGTTTCACCTGGACTCTTGACTTTCCTCCTCTCCATGTTGCTTTCTCAAAAAGTGTCTGATTTTGCCTGCCATATCTGCAATGCTAAAAATCATGAACTTCAACACGAAGGAAACTTTTATTTTTTTCAAATGAATATGGTATGCTTGGATGCAAAAAACAGGCACAATATACCTGTTTGTACCATCCACCAGGGAAAATCACGATGCCGATAGCACAAGCTAGCCGGAAAAAAACAATTTGATCTGTTTCTTCTTCGGTAGTTGCTTCAGATCTTTCTGGTGCACTGATGTTGATACGACGCCTCCATAGTGGCGCAACATTTAAATTACAGTTAAAATACATAGTTGCCGCAGAAAAACGGCAATTGCTCAATCAACACAGCTAGAGCTTTGCACTTTGTTGATTGATATCAGTCGGTCTGGCTGGGAGCGGGATCAAATTAGCTGGAGGCGGTTGCCATGCAATGTGCCATATTGTTCCCCTCTGCTTGCTCTCAACAACTGTTACTGACAACCACATTTCCACTTTTCCTTGATTTCTTTTTAGTGTTTCTTTGAAGCAGGGGTAGGGAACTCCGGTTCCTCAAGAGCCATATCCCGTCTTTTTTAAATTACTCCCTACTCCAACGCACTTGATTCAAACGATCAGCTCATCAACAAGCTCTGTAGAAGCCTGAAATGCTCATGATCAATTAATTCAGGCGCATTGGAGTAGGGAGAGCTCTAAAACAGGCAAGATATGGCTCTCGAGGAACCGGAGTTACCTACCCCTGTTGGTAAGTTGACAAAATTCAACAACTGAATCAGCATACTCCAAGACTGATTCCTTAATTTTTGCCAGGGGTTGTAGTAGAATGCTCCTCACAGTTGTTAAAAATGCCACATACACATTTCATGTCTGTTGCACATTGAAAAGTCCTATACACCTTAATATATTTTTAATGTACGTTCTCCTTTATTGTCCAGCTTGCACTCTAAGTCTCTACGGTTCTTGCCTTACCCGATTTGCCTTCAAGACGAGTGATATCAACATTGATGTCATCCACCCATCCACAGTAAGTCTGTCAATTTTAGTCACAGCAACTAACACTTCTTATACAGCAATTCCGCAGCATAGCATTGTAGCCTTAATGGATGTGGCGATAAGTGCCTCTTTTACTTTTTTACATAGAACTCAGTGAAAGTGGGATGCTGTCCTAACTATCCATTTACAGTACTGTACTTTGCAGCATGCTTCCTAGAACAGTGATTCCCAACCTTTATTGAACCAAGGTACATATTTTAAGTTTGAAAAATCTCACGGCACACCAAGCATACAAAAATGGATACACATGTCAATTGTATACTTTCTGCCATGTCAGAGAAGATCATTTTTTCGTTCTCAATGTCACAGTAAATCGCTGGCAGAGATGGATAAACAAAGATAAATTATTTGTCATGAATAATTTTTTGACCATTCATTGAAATGTTATCATTTCCTGGGGCACACCTGAAGAGCTCTCACGGCATGTGGTGCCCAGGCACATTGGTTGAGAATCACTATCCTGGAATAAAACAAATATATTAAGGTATAATTACTAGTTACCTGTTAAAAAAATGCAGTAGTAACTTAAGCCGAGTGCCATAATATTGAAGTAATGTAATTTGAATGCTCTGAATTACATTTGAATTACATTAAGATTACCGTATTTTCACAACCATTCGGCGCACCGTATTGTTGGGCGCAGTCTCACTAACGGGTGCTATTTTGGTATTTTACACATAGACAAAACGCACTGTATTATTGGGCGCAGTTTTACAGTGGTAAAACATACGCCAGCTTAAACATACGGCATGTGTGCATGCATGCTAAAAACACGCTAGCTTGAAGCATACGGTAACATGCTAAGACATACGGATACACGCTAAAAACACGTTTTTAAAAAGGCAACGGAAGCAAAACTGAGTTCGGTTGCATTTTATTTAGCCAGCTTACAATGTACTCACGTTTTTTGATCAATCAAAAAACGTGAGTACACAGTCGAACAAACGTGAGTACACAGTCGAATGGTGACTGTGGAGACGCTTCTGCCGGCTGCTCTTTGATCAACAATCCACCGCTCCAGTTGGTCTTCCAACTCGGGCCACCTCGCCTTCTGTCCACGGAAACTCAGCTTCGTCTTTTTGACTTGGCGAAGCTCGTTCTCCTGCTTCCTCCATTTGCGAGCCATGGATTCGTTGACTTGAAATTCTCTCGCGGCTGCTCGATTCCCATGTTTCTCCGCATAACCGATGGCTTGAAGCTTGAACTGAGCTTTGTAGGCGTGTCTCTTTGTAGAAGTAATTTCGGGGGTTCTTAGAAACCAAAACCGAAGTTGTTTTGCAATAACGCACATATCCACACTTTATACAGGTGCTGGTACCTGCTAGGGGCGTGCCTTTAGCATCCACTTACACGTCCACCCTTCACTCATTGGCGGACTTCTTCGCCGCATGCCTGTCCTCATTCACTTCCGCCTTTTCTCTATATAAACGCGTGTCGGCTCTCTGTCAGGTTTTGGTACTCAGCGCATACACAAGACGCTCCGCATTATAAGGCGTGCTGTCCACTTTGGAGAAAATTTTAGACTTTTAATGGCGCCTTATAGGTGTGAAAATACAGTACTCCAATCCTAAATATCCTAAAGAAAATAAAATACAAATAAATATTGCTACAGTATGTATTTGTATACAGCGGACCTGACTATTTGCACATTGTAGGGACCAGGCTGGCCCGTAAATAGAGAAAATTCATACATAGATCAGTGATTCTCAACCCGTGTGCCACTGCTGGGGTACATTATCGTAAGCGTCCTCCCTCACTGTGTATGTCCACTTACTTGCTCGCAGCAACACCACGCCGACTGACTGGAATCACGGCAGTCCATTGAGCCACATTACAATTGTAACAATTTATCCACTTGTTTCGCTGAGTGTTCAAATTGTTCACATCCTGTATGTTATGTGATATCGTGAGCACCAACAAGACTGTGTGTAAGTGTTTTGGCAGTTACAGTGTTGATGGTGGTGGAATAAAAAACCTGGAGGCAAAACTTTCCTCCGCGGTGGCTTTTGAAGTTTCATGGTAGCAGAGGATGGTTTTCAATTACACAGTATCGCCGAAATTTGACGGAAGTCAAGGCCATACTAGTGCTGGAAAACCGAAGATAGTATTTGGAGATTTGTTTCAGGCTTGGACAAAAAAAAGCAGGCGCTCGTGGCGGTGCTGGGCCTCAAAGCAAAAGCCAGAAAGACTGCTTTGAAAATGTCCGCGGATGATCCAAATATTGACAACAGCATGGAAACACTTCTCGCTTAGTAGGACATAGTGTTATTGAGAGAAGAACAAGACCGTGCTTATGAAGCGTACTCCTATTTTGACTCTATACCTAAATACTGTGCGGTGTCCATGGAGTGCTATATAATAGACTTCGAGCAAAGATACAATCGGATGACTGCCTGATGCTGTCTTAGCAATTAAACACCTGGATACGGCGTACCTTGAGGAAAAGAGGAGACAGCTAGCGCTTATGGCGTGATTTTTTTGGGAAAAATCACAGCGAGCAATGGCAGCAAGACAGAGTAAACAGCTTTTTTCACTGATCAAAAGCCTGCAGTATCGGGGAAAACTCAGAAGGATCAATGTCCTGTCACAGAGCGGACAGCGGTAGCAACAGTAAGATGCAAATCCACTCAACAAATATGATAAGCCAACAAAATGGGCTGTTTGACAAAGCATGTACCATTGGGCCAAAGATTGTCCTCATTGGAAGAATGAAGTCAAGTTGACAAAAGATGAAAGTGTGGAGGAGTGTAATAATACACTTGTGAAGTCCTTGTCATCACAACAGAGATGTCTTCAAAAGAAAAACGCCCCTGTAGCTTCACAAGCAGTTTGGCCATGCCTCTGCAGACCGGCTGCAGAGGCTCATTCAAAGCTCCTGAAATACTGAGACTGTTTCATCACTCTGGAGGAGCTCATTCGTGAGGAGCTCACAGGACCAAGCCCAAGCCTGCAGTGGGCTTGCCCTTAGCCTCTGAATACAATGAGACAGTGGCAATCGATCTACAAGACCTGGAACCTCTGTGTGGTACCTGCACATCATTGATCACTTAATATGATTTAGCGCTGGAAACATTGTGAGGACCAAGAAACCTCCGGAGATCCTCATCTCCTTCATTCACTTGTGGATAAGTATCCACGGTGCACCCAAACAGATCTACACGGACAATGGTGGAGAGTTCAATAATGAACAGATTAGAGACATGGCGGATAGAATCCAACATTGAAGCAAAAAGTACATCGGGATACAGTCCATGAAGCAATGCAATGGACTGGTGGAAAGACACAACATGACAAAAACGGAATGATCAATGTGCATGGTGAGAGTCCACACCAGCTTGTATTTGGACACAGTCCCAATCTTACGTCTGTATGAGTTGATAAACTGCCTGCTCGAGAGCATACTAATAGGAGTACTAGATTAGGGCAACACTTAGCTGCATTACATGCTTCCAGAACAGCTTTCACAGCAGTGGAGTGCTAAGAGAGAATAAGAAGGGCATTACGCAAGCAACTGAGATCTACAGATGAGAAGTTTGAACCACGAGACAGCGCATTATAAACGAGTAGATGTGGAAGGGTCCTGCTGTATCTATTGGTCAGAATAGCACTGTAGTATACAGTATACAAGTATAGAACAATGTTTATGAAGAGAATTACTAACAATTGTCAAAAATGTGTTACTACTACGTGGGTTTGTACACTAAAAGAAACATCAAATGGTATTGTCATTAAAGCTCGCCTTGTGGTGAGAGGTTTTGACAATATCCATGAGTTACATAAAGATTCTCCTCCATGGGCATCAGAGTCACTCTGACTGCTGTTAGCTGTGACATTTGAAAACAAATGGACAGTTCATTCGATGGACACTAAGTCTGCCATTTTGCAGGGAATGGACCTCTAGAGAGATACTTCCATTTGCCCCCCCACCAGAAGCTGTTGTGGACAGCAGCAATATTCTATAAAAGCTAAAGAAATGTGTGCATGGACTTGCCGATGGTTTCCTCTATTGGCACAACAAAGTCAAAAGTCAAGCAGCTCATGCTGAAGACTGGTGGTAAAATGTCACGTTGACCCGGCCTACAGTATTCTATTGGCAAAATAAAGCAGTCCGAGATCACAGTAGTATTGGCGTGTTATGTGGATGATTTTCTTTGGGCGGGGTCACAGCACTTCATTTCCAATGTTGTCATCTGCTTTGAATGTGGGCCGTGATGGACATGAGTTTCTCACATGCTGGGATGGATATTGCAACTGTTGATGGTCTAGTGCAGGGGTGCAAACTCAGGTCCTGGAGGGCCGTTGTCCTGCATGTTTTCCAAGTCTTCCTGTTGCAACGCACCTGATTCAAATGAATAGGTTCAATGTCAGGCTTCTGCAGAGCTTGCTGATGATCTGATCATTTGAATCAGGTGTGTTGCAACATGGAGACTTGGAAAACATGCAGGACAGCGGCCCTCCAGGATCTGAGTTTGACACCCCTGGTCGAGTGCATAGGTGTCAAACTCAGGTCCTGGAGGGCAGCTGTCCTGCATGTTTTCCAAGTCTCCCTGTTGCAACACACCTGATTCAAATAAACATGTTCAATATCAGGCTTCCACAGACCTTGCTGATGATCTGATCATTTGAATCAGGTGTGTTGCAACAGGGAGACTTTGAAAACATGCAGGACAGCGGGCCTCCAGGACCGGAGTTCGACACCTGTGGTCTAGTGCAAGTCCATCAGTACACTTACATTGACAATCTGCAACCAATTTCTTTATAGAAAGCACAAGTTATAGAGAGAAATGCTCCACTGAATGAGTCAGAGAGGGATCAGCTGGGGTCCAAAATAGGACAAATTTTGTGGGTTGCTTCACAAACAAGATCCAATGTCATGTTTGACATGTGCAGCCTGGCATCGAATATTATAAATGCTATTGTTCAGTCCATACACGAGGCCAACGAGGTAATCCGTACACTAAAGTCGGAGAAGGTCACACTTCACTCATTGAATACCACCCCTTTTCACTGGAGCAACCCCCTCAATCCCTCACATTTTACTGAATTTTGACTGATTTGCAAGGCCCACAGAATTTTCTGTTCTATGGCTATATAAACATGCGACCCGTCAGAAGAAAGGTGAGACTCTCTTCTTTCAGCAGAAAAAAGTTTGTTTCTATCTTTCTCCGGTCGTTGGTGATCAGCATTAGAAAACTGTTTGTTTTATGGAAAAGGCCGATTTTCTTCAGAAATCCATACAAAATGAGCTTTTTGTAAAAGCATGCATTTCAAGCATCATTTCAAGTTGGGTGACACTATTTTTTGCTTTTGTGACAGCTCAAATACCTCAATAAAACAAAACAACATTACAAAAAATGTTTTGATAGCAAAATAACTTATTTGCACATAGCAAAACTATTGAACTATGAACTGGAGGAGCTCGTCTGTTATGAACAGCTGGAGGAAGTCAGCTGGCTCTTCAGACTCCAGTTGTGCAGCAGCATCAAAAGGCCCAGGGGTCGCTGTGAAGGGGATGGTTTTTGGCTTCCATCCAGTTTGTCGCCACATCGATTCATCCCCACCACGTCCAGATGCACGACCTATAAATTATAGAAATATAAACATTTGCAAATGTTAGATATTTATTGCCGCAATGTGAAGTGAAGTTTAACTTTTATTTACTTCTTTGCACTGACACCATGAGCGGGTGCTGTTAGGCTGCTAGATCCATGACCTGTAAATTCTAAAAACATAAAACGTTGCAAATATATCTTGCTGCAGAGTGAGGTACAATACTTTTATTTACCTTTCTTTACACCACCAAAGCAAGGAGTCGTCATCTTTTGGCTTCTGGTTGGACAATCTGTAATTTATAAAAGTATGTACAATTACCACACTTTTATTTATTTTTTTATTGTTGCTAGACACTTAGATTTCCCCATCTCACACACGCATACGTGCTCGCACACTGCTATTTACACCATTCATTCCACATTGCTCAGCATCCAATTTGAAATGAAATGGAATATGAATTGAACACTAGTGGTTTTAGCAGAGCTGAGTGGACCAAATGTGTTTTGTTTTTTTAAAACCTAGAATGGCGACACGCAAGTCAGCACATTTACAGCATTTATTTTCATCCACATCTATGAGACGCATCAACTGTACATAAATGATTAGTGTTACTGGCAACTTTATAGTATAGTGGGGAATGTAGCGGTGCATATTTTTTTTTATCCTGGACTCAAATTATCCTCAGAAGAGTATAGTTAGAGCGTGTTTTTTTTTCCCTCTCCCTCCCTTGTGGTTTCCTTTCTGAACTCTGACTGTAAATTTCCCCAGTGTGGGACAAATAAAGGATATCTTATCTTATAAAACTGACTGATGAGGGCATAAGAAGTGACGAACTTTTGAATGGGAACTTGCAAGCTCGTCAGCACTTACATCCTCATTCCAGCAGCTCTGGCGAGGACTCTCGGCTGCTTTCCGTTACGTCCGAAGGCACGTATTCGTCCGACAGATCCGGATCCAAATCGCTCTCCAATTCATCGTCTTCGCCGTCATCATTGCGAGATGTTTCCGGCGAATCGCTGACGCGTGCCCGGCGTCGGCCATGCCAAGCACATGCAGCCTCTTTGCCGTCATCGCTGGAAGTCGCCGGGGAGACGATTTGTGGGCGATGAGCGCCACGGGATTACGTGACCGAAGCGTCATCTCTTCCACACAAAGACCATCTCCTTAGTTGTTTTTTTTTCGAGGACGCTTTTATACCGAAAAAAAACAATCCTCAAGTGGTAGTTGTTTTCTTTTCTCTATCGTTGCTAGTTGCTAATATTCCAATCCACTATCCACATCCGCCACTACTCCACTATCACACCCCCTCTACTACTTCTGCGGCATGATCCTGGTGGACTTTTGCACCACTGCCACCTGATGGCCATTTTTTTTACTATTTAACATTGCAGTCAAGCCTGCTCCTTCAGTGAGAAGTTGCATCAGACTCTCTTGCACCCTCCCCAATGAAAAAACGTGATTGACGTGTTTATACATCATGGGGAGGCAGCGGCTATGCGCCAATTGACGTGTTTATACGTCAAAGGGTGTGAATGAGTTAAATTTCAGTCTTTGGACAACAGTGATGATTTGAGTACAGCTGTCTTCAGTGATGCTTCACTGGGTAATCTTCCAGACGGAGGCTCACAGGGAGAGGCCTCATGGGGAAAAAGAGGAAAGTGCTCACCTTTGTTGTGGCAATCTATGAAAATCAGATGCGTAGTGAGGAGTACATTGGCAGGAGAAACACTTGCCATGTCATGTACATTGGCAGGAGAAACACTTGCCATGTCAGATGCGATTGACAATGCCATGTTCTTGGCTACACTTGCTGATCTGAATACTCTTCCTATTATCTGTGTCACTGATAACCATTCCCCATTTGATGCTCTTAAATTGACAAAACAGGTCACAGAAAAGAGACGTTAGAAATAAGCAGTATCAAAGAGTTTCTACTGGCAAACTAAATCAAAGAGATGCATTCGTAAATCACAACTCGCTGTCTGCTTACCTAAAAATGCTTCAGCCCTTATGCTTCCAAAAGCCCAACAGAAGGGTGTATGGTTACAATGAAGTCATGCATTTTTTTTTTTCGAGATTTGTATTTTCTTAAATCCAGTTCATAGATGTTCAGGATTGTTGCATATTTTTGTTGGTTTGTTTTAATAAAGAAAGGAGATTTCTTCCATCCCGTATGTTATGTGATATCACGAGCACCGGCGAGTCTGTAAGTGTCTTATGGTGTACAGTGTTGATGGTGGAATAAAAATCATGCAAGCGAAACTTTACTGCATAGTGGGTTTTGAATTTTCACAAATAATCAATGGAGTCAGCCTGTCCACGTGGAAACTACAGTGCTCCGAAACAATCCCTCTTTTTAATAAATGTACCTGCGATGTGATTACGTGTGTGTCCCCCCCGCCCCCGAAACTGTAATGGAATAAAGTTAGTTTTCTTTTCTCTTTTGTTTTTTTTTTTTTGTTTGTTTTTTTACATTCTCAATATGTAACGCCGGTACAGTACATGTACAGTAGCCTGTTACTCCCCAACCCTGCAGCTCGGTAAAATTTTGTCTTCAATTAACCTTTTTTGGAATGTGGGAGGAAAACAGAGTAGTCAATACAATCTCCCTAGGACTGTGCAACATAATTTACCATAGGTGATACATGTGAAAGGTAGGCTCACTTTCAGGGAACTATATTTAGCAGCAATTTAACAAGAAATCACTGGTGCAGTGCAGGCATGTTTGAGAAAATATGTGATAACCCTCACTGTGACTGCAGATATATAGACTCTTGCCTGAGGCTGGCTCTGTTGCGGTCACTCTTAAAAATCACAGGTGTGCAAATGACACCATTGAATTATGTCAACACACAGAGCTGCTTTGGATGTGTGAACCTTCACTGACAAGGTCTGCCATGGCCTTCATTTTCTACAATATGATACAATTCTGCAAGCATTCCAAGTCTTACACATTATATTTTGTAATGCTTTTACATCTAGATGACACAACCGGAAGTCCTGATTCAAGTGCTTGACATCCTGAAAAACAGCAGTAAGTTTTATTCAAACTTGCCTTGAGTTCAGGCTTAATGTATGAGTAAATATATTAGTCAACTTATTTGAGCTTCATGGCAATGGCTGTGAATACTTAAGGATGTGATGTCTGACTTTTAATAAATACAAATACATTTGAAAAAAAAAGTTGTAATCATGGGGTGTTGTGTGCACAAATTCATTGACATTCAAGAATAAACAATTTCCTTGTTCTTATAAGTAAGCTCTCATGTAAAATTTGGTTGGAAAGTTGTGACTTGATTTCTCCTTGGATCTGATGTGGGGTAGTGTGACTTCATTAATTGTAATTCTTCCTCTTTTTAGCTGAATTTTCAGAGGTTGTGTCAGACTTTCATGCCAAAGTTCCTGCCATCATCTGTCGTGATGTCAAAAGGTCAGTGAGAGCTCTGTCCATTTCTGCCGCCTTATGTTTTTGAAACGACTAAGTAAATCATTTGTGTTTCCGAGGGTTTGCTCATTTGTCAACCATGTTATCCTTCCATCCATTTTCTGATCCTCTTACCCTCACGGGGGTCACGGGTGTGCTGGCGCCTGTTCCAGCTGTCTTTGGGCAGTAGGTGGGGTATACCCTGAACTGGTTGCCAGCTAATCGCAGGGCACACTTCGAGGAACAACCATTTGCGCTCACACTCACACCGAGGGACAATTTAGAGTGTTCCATTAACCTGCCATGCATGATTTTGGAATTTGGGAGGAAATCGGAGTACCTGGAGAAAACCCACACAGGCACGGGGGGAACATGCATACACCACACAGGAAGGCTGGAGCCGGAATGGAACCCTGCACCTCTGCACTGTGCTCCCCTCAACCATGTTATCAGGTTGTTGTTTTTTTTTTGTTTTTGGTTCCCCTCTCCAAAAGATGTAATTTCTCGATTACATTACATTCTCGAGACATTGAGGATGCGTAGTACTCATACATAAGCTTCAGAATGTCGCTAAATACATTTTGTTAAAAATAATTTGGGACAGTGTAAGTAAATTCTTTATTGACACACGTGTGTCAATAAAGAATTTTGTGTGTGTGTGACCAGTCAATTGGCTTTTATTAAAAACATTTTATTACGATATATGTGTGTGTGTGTGTGTGTGTGTGTGTGTGTGTGTGTGTGTGTGTGTGTGTGTGTGTGTGTGTGTGTGTGTGTGTGTGTGTGTGTGTGGGCTGACAAACCTCTGCTCTACATATTCCTCCGAGTAAGTCACTCAAGTCAGTTAATTAAAAACAAATTCTGGAGCACTGAAAGGTACATGCAGAACAACCAAAATTCCTCACAGTTGTATCTGACCCACAGGCCACATCAGGCTCGCAAACGAGTTTACTCTGGCCCTCAATATCCATCCATCCATTTGCTGAATCGCTTCTCCTCATAAGGGTCGCGGGTGTTCTGGAGCCTCTGGAGATGATTTTAAGTGTATTAATGAGTACGGTCAGCCTATTTGCTGATGTTAGTTGTAAACAAGTAACACTGGTATCTATCTATCTATCTATCTATCTATCTATCTATCTATCTATCTATCTATCTATCTATCTATATATATATATATACACACACTTACAAAAAAAGGGAATTTTCCGCACTATAAGGCACACCTAAACACATTCCATTTTCTCAAAAGCCAACAGCGCACCTTATAATCCTATGCACCTTATATATTGATCATTATTCTGATTTCTTGGACGTAGTATTTTAAATGTTCCGTAAAGCGCTTTGTTACAGGTGTGGCAGTTGTGAAGGCACTATAGGGGTGTTCACACGGCACACATTTGCTCCGGCGCTACACTGATGTATTTTGTTGCGATATATTTTACTCCGGAGCAAATTTTGTGGAGCGGTCACACGTACAAAGCCGCTGAGCGTGTCAGCACCGGCACAGCGTCGGTGCAGCTCCACTTGCGGTCACACGGCAGTTTCTGCAGCGGAGCAAAACGACAGAAAACAAATGAGCTGTCGTGTTGGTTCTTTTTAAACTTATACACAACTCAAGCAACGACTGTACAGGCATGTTCTTCTCCTTCTCGGTCTCCGTGCCTTCTGCTCGAGAGTGACCGCCCCCGAAAACATAAATCAACGATGACTTCAATGACACTCAGAAAAGCAAACATGTAATGCGCCAAACAGAAAAATCAAGAGGGGAAATCACAAAATAAATTCTATGGGGGGCGGGGGGTTATAAACACAAAACAAAGGAACAAACTACACAAACAACTCCGAGACAGTCCAGTCTCCTACAAAAGGAAAGATGATGTTTGGGGACTACCCCCCGTCCCCCGTTCTAATTGAGATGGTATAACCCAAGAGGTGCTTGCTACTGTTACCAGCCATGTCTTGTGTCGTTATTAAACAAACACATGACCGAAGTCCGACAGAGCACGAAAGCAACGCATTCTCGCCGTACGTAATCAACTCTTCTCATGTGTAGTGAGGCTACTCCCCCCTCGCAAACAAGCATTTGCTCCAGAGCAAATTGGAGAGTTCACACGTGCAAATTTACATCGGTGCCGCTCCACAAACGAGCATTTGCTCCGAAGCAAATTTTTAAACCACCTCCCTGAGGTGTTATCTGTTTTCCGGGACTACCCCGGAGCAAATTTGCACGTGTGACCGCTCCACTGGCGCAGCGCCGGCGTAGCACCGGAGCAAATGTTGCCGTGTGAACACCCCTGATATCAGGGGTGGCCAACCAGTCAGAGACTGAGAGCCAATTTTTTTACTGTGTTACTGCAAAGAGCCACACACACACACACACACACACACACACACACACACACACACACACACACACACACACACATACACGACCATGCACTCGCGCACATATGCGTGCACGCCACGATGAGCAACAGTCTGAGCGCCCGAACATAAATGAAACCTCAAAACACAAACACAAAAATATTTGGTTTTTTTCCCTATCCTCTCCTCCCACTGCTCGCGGTCGACTTGGGACCAGTCTGCTGGCGATTGTGATCTACGTATTGGGTGCCCCTGCCTTTAAAACAGAGGTAATTCGCTGACTAGCTTAGCACTTAGCGCCGTTGTCTGCGCATGAGCGATGATTCAGTCATCTGTTTGGTTGCCCACTATGTCAATCAAGTAATGGGATTGGTGATAGGCTGACGTAGTACGTTCTATGTATTAAGCATTGTTGTTTTAATGGCAGCGCCATCGCCGAGGCGTTTTCGACAATTGTCGTGTGAAAGCCCGGGAGCCACATTGAACCAGCCGAAGAGCTGCATGCGGCTCGCGAACCACGGGTTGGCCACCCCTGCACTATATGATTAAAGTTGTATTGTATTCCCTTTAGCGTAGATCCATCTAGTGGATGCATAACGCAACCTCAGCCACAATTGTAGCTTCTATTCGATGCGCCTTATAATACGGAGCGCCCTATACACTCACCGACCACTTCATTAGGTACACCATGCTAGTAACGGGTTGGACCCCCTTTTGCCTTCAGAACTGCCTCAATTCTTCATGGCATGGATTCAACAAGGTGCTGGAAGCATTCCTCAGAGAGTTTGGTCCATATTGACATGATGGCATCACACAGTTGGCGCAGATTTGCCGGCTGCACATCCATGATGCGAATCTCCCGTTCCACCACATCCTAAAGATGCTCTATTGGATTGAGATCTGGTGACTGTGGAGGCCATTTGAGTACAGTGAACTCGTTGTCATGTTCAAGAAACCAGTCTGAAACCAAGAGATGATTCCAGCTTTATGACATGGCGCATTATCCTGCTGAAAGTAGCCATCAGAAGTTGGGTACATTGTGGTCATAAAGGGATGGACATGGTCAGCAACAATACTCAGGTAGGCTGTGCTGTTGCAACGATGCTCAATTGGTACCAAGGGGCCCAAAGAGTGCCAAGAAAATATTCCCCACACATTCCACCACCACCAGCCTGAACCGTTGATACAAGGCAGGATGGATCCATGCTTTCATGTTGTCGACGCCAAATTCTGACCATCCGAATGTCGCAGCAGAAATCAAGACTCATCAGATCAGGCAACGTTTTCCAATCTTCTATTGTCCAATTTCGATGAGCTTGTGCAAATTGAAGCCTCAGTTTCCTGTTCTTAGCTGAAAGGAGTGGCACCAACAACCATGCCACGTTCAAAGCCACTCAAATCACCTTTCTTCTTCTTCCCCATTCTGATGCTCAGTTTGAACTGCAGGAGATTGTCTTGACCATGTCTACATGCCAAAATGCACTGAGTTGCCGCCATGTGATTGGCTGATTAGAAAAAAAGTGTTAATGAGCAGTTGGACAGGGAAACCTAATAAAGTGGCTGGTGAGTGTATATACCCTCACCGACCACTTTATTCGGTACACCAGTCCAACTGCTCGTCAACACTTAATTTCTAATCAGCCAATCACATGGCGGCAACTCAGTGCATTTAGGCGACGAGCAGTTGGACTGGTGTACCTAATAAAGTGGCCGGTGAGGGTATATGAAAACAGTTGTAAAATAAGCCATTCATTGAAGGCGCGCCTTATACTCCTCAGCGCCTTATAGTGCGGAAATTAAAGTGATATAGTGATCCCTCACTTATCGCAGTTAATGGTGCCCGGGACCACGTGCGAAAGACGAAAATCCACGAAGTGGGGTTTGCCCTCACCCCCCACCCCGAAGGAATTTTTTTGTAAGGGTTTGTGGGTACAGTGAAACTCCTCTGCAACGAAATCATGTTTGCAGCAAGAATTTTTTCACAACAGGGGGTTTTTCACTGAAGCAAATTTGATCTCGGATGTAAACACACACACACACACACACACACACACACACACACACTCTTTATTTTTATTCCAATAGTACATAAGTATGAGCACACTTATTTGACACTTCATGTAGTCAGTGTAGAAAGAAAAGAAACGGAAAGACATTGCGAAATTTACGATCAGCATTCACTTTCACGGACATCATTTTCTTGGATAATGTATTTTATTTTGCTTCCTCCGTCTTTCATTGTGATCACTTTTACGCTCTCTTACAGCGTCAGAACGCTTCTTGTCTTAGCTGCTTGACATCCAAAGGTCCATTTTGTAGCCATTTTAGCAATGCAACGTTCATGCTGTGTCTGAATCTAACACTAACAAATACTTCCTGGACCCGGTGGCTTTTCTTTCCACCATCTCACTGTCTCTAACTCGACCTCCCCTCGATCGCCACCCAAGACAGTGTTGCTCAGCTTATGTCATGCAATGAACTTTTAAAGCCAGCCACGGGACGCTTCGTAGTCCTCGATGGCCATAGTTAGCACGATGGAACTCGCCTTCTCTCTAATTAGCGCTCCAGTTAGCGTAAGGTTTTTAGCATGATAACAAGTAAAGCATTCCAGGAAACGTTCGTTTATTTGACTGTCCGTCGAG